TGGAGAGCTAACACAGTGGTTCTCAAAATGCTGCACATTAGAGACACTAGGGGTAGCCTTTACAAATCTCAAAGCCTAGGACGTACCCTAAATCAATGAAATCTGACACCCGAGAGGCGAGGCCCAAACCTTGGTCCTTTTTAAAATGTTACCGAAAGGTCAGTACTTGTCCACGAGACCCAATCAATGAGAACGAAGAACGAGGACAAGTGATGTGAGAAAAAAGGAAACATAAGTTTATTAGTTTGCCAGCAAATGAGGAGGGCAGGAGATTAGCGTCTCAAAGACCACCATTCTGACTTTAAGCAGAAAAACAGGGCTTTTTAAAGGGCAGGGCATAGGGGTTGGACTCGGGTCTACCCAACCCGTGTCACATGTTGCAGCTTTGGGCTATTGTTGCTTAACTATAATCCGTGGTTTCTGGATTCAGTCTTGGGTTATGTCAACCCTATCTCCAGTGACAACTATCTTGTGATCTTGTGACCCTTGTCCGGACAATTCTGTTAAGTTATCTCCTGTGGTTTAAGATAATAGAAAACAAACATCAAAGAACATTTTTCTGCCCCTTTGATCACTGGCCTCGGAAAGGAATGCAAGTTTTAATTTCCAAAGGGGGAGAGTGGGGGGGGGAGGCTTAAAGAGAGAACTTGTAGAACATTTCATTGCCCTTTTTCAGACCTTTACCCCTGTTACAAAAACATCCCATGTAATTCCAAAAAGCAGCCAAGTTTGTGAATAAAAAGATAGGGACTCTGTCTTCCTGGAGCTTACAGCCTCTGTAATGGGAAATATAAATTTAAAAGAAGAAAAACAAAAGTTTAATTCTCCCTGTTAAAAAAAGGAAAGGGAAAAGCATCCCAGGGCTGGAGTGGCAGCTCCACTAAGTTCCTTCCATCTTTTGGCTCCACCATCCACAGTATCATGCATTCTGGCCTTAAAATTGCCAGTCCCTGTCATCAGGTCTTTGTCTCAGCAGCAGAACAGAGGAAGAGGCAAGGGTAATAGACTTACCTACCAGCTGAACCAGCACCTTTTAAAACTTTTCTCCTGGAAGCCACACCCAATGGCTTCTACCTGCTTTTCACTGGTCACTCACAATCTCCAAGGGAGACTGAAAAATATCTTTTTAAAAAAATTTAATCTGGACAGTTACGTTGCATCCTCAAGGCTATAGGAGTTCTATTTGTAAGTATAGACTCTGAATTGGGTGAAGGAGTTCAGAACGTCCACCTCAAAATATGCCATTCTAGCAAATTGATTCTTTTGAGTTAAAGGTACTTAAAAAACAGTAGATGCAAGAAGGATACACTGGCCTTCCTTTTTCTTCCTGAAAGCAGGAGATGAAAGGTGTTCTCACTATACCAAGAGGACATATCACTAGAGATGGGAAGTAGAGGCTGAGAGAAATCTTTACAAAATCTTGTTGAACTAACCTTTATCTCCCTAGTCACTTCTCCATAATTAACTGCCCTAGTCTAAGCCCCTTTATCTTGTCATAGTTTCACAATTTACTATTCTGTGTCCAATTCAGTTTATA